CCTTGACCCATGGCTTGGCTGTGGAGGGGGCACCTTGACCCATGGCTTGGCTGTGGAGGGGGCACCTTGACCCATGGCTTGGCTGTGGAGGGGGCACTTCTGAGGTGCAAGAACAGGAGCACATGCCTGCAGCTGTTTGTGTTGACAATCCCAGTCTCTGTGGGGGCGAAGAAGCACAGCATGCCAGCTTGGAAGGGACCTCAAGGATCATCTGCTCCAGCCTTTCTAGGTAGGAACATGGTTTAGGTGAGAAGAAGATGGTTTAAATGAGCGAAGACGAAGAGAGCACAGATGAAGGGGCCTGTGATAAACTCACCTGACGTGCCTTCGAGCAAGGGACAGCACAAAAGCAGGTGACAAAAGCCATCACCTGCAGGTTTCTGGCAGCCAGCTCACTCAGGCCTGCAAATGCCTGCCCTGCTTGGCCAGATATTTTGGGTTGTGTCCTTAGCATTTCTGCTTCCAAGATGAATTTTGACTTCAGAAGCCTCTGGGAGGACCAGTGGGACTCACCTCTTGAAGCCACCCAGGGGACTGCAAAAAAGCCCCGATAAAGCTCTGGTTTCCCAGCCTTCTCTGTGTCTTTCTCCAGGCTCTGCTCATACCTTGAACATGCATACAAGGAACCAGTCCTCTCCAGTCCCACCAGGCTTCTGCTGTTGCTGGTTCATCACATCCAGACAGAAAAGAAAGGAAAAATAATTTTTAAAAAAGCATCTTTGAAACAAATTCCAATAAATCCTGCTGTTCAGATTGTAATCATGTCACCTACCTCACAGGGTCACCACCTTGGGGTCCCTAAGGCACCTTCTCTCCTCTTCCACGGGATGCCATGATGTGTGGGGCACATCAGCCATTCTTCAAGGTCTACTGGGGGTTGAGCTTGGGCAGAAGAAGAGCCAGGCTGTGCCAGCCTGACCAGCAGCCACGCAGGTGATCAATACATCAGTGGGGAGCAGAGAAGGGGGCCTGTGTGTCCATGGATGACCCCACTCCCTGGCTAAATAAAACCCATCCCGCTGTGGTGCATGTGGCTGGTTTGGTGGGGCAGGGGTTGGGTGGGACAGTTTGGTGGTGCAGTCTTTGGGACTGATGATGAGCCACCACTGTGGCCTGGGCACTTTCTTTTTCCCACCACACTTGGAGGTTGGGATGAGAGAGATGAGTGTGTAGGACATGCAGTGCCATCTCCCCCCCAAAACATGAGGCCAAGGAGTGGTGCATGGCCTGAAGCCTCCATGCAGGGCCCAGTTTGACCTCTTGCATCTGCTTAAAGATGGGTCTGGTGGGGCTCAGGGCAGGGTTCTGATCATGGACCAGCCCCTGAGAGCTCAGTGGTGGTGCAGGGTGTGGGACTGTGCGTGTCTGCAGGCACCGGGCTGATCCCACACCAAAGGCAGCTGGTGTCTCCAGGAACCTCAGTCTGGCTCGGTGGGGCTGGTGGGGACCCAACATGGCCCTGCTGGGACCTGCTGGGCTCCACCCCAGCTCCTGGGCGGGCAGATAATTTCATTATTTTTCATTTTTCATTTTTTTTGGTGCATCTCTTGTGGTTGAACCTCCTCAACGTGTGAGCCAAACTCACCATCTGTGCCATCGGGCTGTGGGCTCAGCCCCGACCTGGGACCCCCCCAGAGGGATCTCATTGCCCTCCCCCCTTTTTAAACAGAAGGAAACCTCTGCTCCCACCCCCCCCAATCCCATCTCTCCCTTCCCTGCTGTGCTGGTGGGGCCCAAGCCCTGTTCTCCCACCAGCAGCAGGAAGCCAAACTAACCAACAGGCAGCTTAAATCCTGCAGGAGTTGTACATAATTTTCCTGATGATCTTGGGATTTTTTTTCCACTACAGAAAAAAAGAAAAAAGCAGCATCTGCTGCTCCTCACATAGACTCTGTGTGTGTGTATATATATTTTTTTAATTGTAATTATTGTTTTTAATTTCCTGGGGGGGCAGAGGGAAAAGTGTCTTAACCAAACCCACCCACCACTGCCCTGCAGGATGTGAAGAAGCTTTACTAGTGCTTTGAAAAAAGAAAGTTCAAAGGCAAAGCACAGCAAGGCTGGGCTTTTGCTTCTCTGTTTCCATGTGGGCAGCCCCCAGCCTTGCCTTGCATGGCAGCTCTTGGTGGCCAAGGACAACTCTTCCCTGGGAGAAATCCAGGGAGAACAGGGTGTGCTGGTGAGGGAGCACAGCCCCTCTTTGCTGCAGGAGCTGGAGGAAGGTCCCTCTGTCACCTGGGACACTTGGGTGATGGAAGAGGTCTGCAAACCCAGGGGTTTTTGCAAGCCTGTGCTTGGGGCCTGTGCCATAGCAGGGGGAAAAAAAACAACAAGACAAAAACCCCAAATAACAACAACAACAAAAATAATCCACCCCAAAACCTGGCTGCAAAGAGGCCACCTGCCCTGTGTGGGCTGGAGGGGCTGCCTGGGCTGGGTGGGCTCGTTTGCTGCCCAAGATGAAAAGAGTAATAACTGGGATCTGGAAAACTTGGGTGGAAGGTTTGTTTTCCTGCTGGTGCTTT